CATTCAAGCCAAATGTAACAAATATATAAAATGTTTGTATCCTCTTATAAACAGGAAATCCAAACTTTGCCTGACGAATAAACTTCTAATATTTAAACAAGTTTTTAGACCGGCCATGCTTTACGCTGTGCCAATATGGTCTAGTTGTTGCACTACCAGGAAAAAAGCACTTCAAAGGATTCAGAACAAAATTTTGAAGATGATTTTGAAGTTGCCTCCCTGATACAGTACTACCGAAGTACATAGAATTTCGAATGTTGAGACTTTAGCACAAATGTCCAACAAAATAATTAATAATTTCCGGCAAAAATCGTTACAATCCTCAATTGCAACGATTAATTCCCTTTATACTTAGATAAGATTTAGTTTTAGTTATTTAGTTTTAAGCTATCAATTGTTATACTGACATGCAGGTTTAAAAAACCTGTTTAAAATACTGAATTGCCAAGACAGGAACAATGTAAAAACACTTAGATATATATCATAACAATTAAGGCTGGTAAGTTACTGTAGTAACTGGAGCACCTAGGTTAAAAATGAAATGTAATTTATTTTGAATTTGGAACAAATAAAGAGTTAAAAAAAAAAAAAAAAAAAAAGAAAATTGAAACTTACAAAAAGTATGAATCAGGTTTCATCCGAGGTTTCATCCAAAATGTAATGGGAGGAAAAATCAATAATTTCTTTGTGGTACGAGGCCGGGTAAGTTTTTTTTTTATCTTGAAATTTAGTTTCCAAGGTCAATACAAATTATACTTCAGGTGGCGCATTCTATGAGGCTTGATAAACCAGCTTTAAACGCGTGGCTAATAGTACGGAAGAATGGGACCATTGCATCAGGGCATTGCAACTGTGTAGCAGGTCTAAGCGAAACCTGTTCGCATATAAGCGCTTTGCTATATGCTTTGGCAAATCTACACTCAATGACTGCTACATATAAGGTAAGGTAAACATTTGCTAGTTGAACTAAAATTCAGCTAATTTCGTATATTATTTCAGTTGAGTATTACTGATCTCCCATCCTACTGGGCAAGACCAGCAAAAAAAAATCAAAGATGATCTGTATCACCCTATACATGACACCAACAACGGCTATAAGGTGGTAAGGATGGACGACATGAACATACGAGCCGATCAGGAAGCTTTTTTAGGATTTATGGCTGATTTGAGGGATGTTGGAAGTGACGCTGCTGTTCTTCGGAAGTTTTGTGATGGCGATAGCTTTGCTTGTGTAGAGTGTCAGCCGAATGCTATTCCGGATGATTTTTTTTGAGGAAAAATGTTTTGCTTCAAAACCAATTCGTCCCCGAGTTGGAAGGAGAATCACTTGAGAAAATTAGAGAGTTTTCGGACAAATTATACATCATCATTTCGGCAGCCGAAATTGAACAAATCGAACGATTGACTCGTGCACAATCTCGATGTGACCTGTGGCGATGGGTCAGGATAGGCCGGATAACAGGTTCGATATTAAATGATTGTAGTCGAGCCTCGATTACAACAGTTCCAGCTAAAATGACCCTCTTAAAACGAATTTGCTATCCTGAAACTACGACAATCCAAAATGAACCTATGGCATACGGAAGAAATAATGAACCTCGCGCTTTAAAAGCGTTCCAAAAAATGATCGTGGAGTATCACAAAAACGTAATGTTTTTGGAATGTGGGGTGATCATTTATCGCGATCAACCATTCATGTCGTCCACTCCGGACTTGATAATGATGTGTGACTGCTGTGGTACATCAACCGTAGAAGTTAAATGTCCTTTCAGGCTATCGGGGAAATCAAGCCTGAATAATCAACTTAAGATCAAGAACTTGATTGAAAGCAACCATCCATTCTTGGCGATATGAGATGGAGAATATTTGATGGTGAAGTCACATGATTACTACGCCCAAATACAAGCAGAGATTTTTGTGAGTGGCTCAAATTTTGGATGGTTTTTTGTATGGAGTAAAGACGAGGAGCTTTGCTTGCGAATTGAGAGGGACATTGATTTCTGGAAGGAAGCTTGTGAAAAATCGTTGAAATATTTCAAAAATATCATATCACCTGAACTAGTCGCCAATTACTTTTTGAATGGTTCAAAACTTAAATAAAAGAAATTCTTAAACTGGAATGATTGATTTATTAAAATTACACAAAATACAAGAAACCTTAACCATTAAATCCACAACATTATGGTTATTCTGAAATCGTGCCATGGTATCAACAGATATTGTTCCAGAGATACATTGGTACTTATTACGCAGCAATCCAATGACTCTCTCCACGTGAATCCGAAGAGAAGTAACCTGTTTATCAGTTTCCAGTTCGGCAGGTGAAAACTGGCGCTTATTGCGCAAAAATGTTGGGATATTCAGGGTTGCTTTCTTTGCGCGAATTATGTCACTAATAGTAAACCCCTTGTCGGCAAGTATAATATCGTTTTCCTCAACTAAATCCAAAAATCCACTCTGCAGCGTAATTTCACGATCGGAGCAGCGACCCGTAAACCCGTTCGAAATATATGCAATTGTCCCGTCAGGATGAACAGCTATCAAGAACTTAACAGTATGTGTTCGCTTATAATTGCTAAAATGTGCAGCCGCGGCCTTTATGTTGCCTGGAGTCTCGCAGCGAATCTCAAAACAGTCAACAATTAACACATGTTTATGCTCGTAAATTCTGGCGAAGCTGTGTGGAGTATGACGAGCTGCATTCTTCTGTTGAGATGGTTGAAGAGCGTACTTGCAGCATGAATAAATCACATATAGTGTGCGGTGAAAGTACTTAGATGCCGTTGTTGTGCTCACACCATAATCAAACCCCAACGTTGAGAACGGTATGTTCAATCTAAGTTGTGACAACGTCATAACAAACAGTTGTTCTGAACCGAAATTCGGCATAGGGTCATCAAGTGACGGCCGCAAATACTTATATAATTTCGTCAAAACTTCACACTTAGAATTTTTTACAGAAATCTGTAAAATTTTACCGAAATCTCAACAGCTGAACGTTCGGTAAACAGTTTCGCAAATTTTCTGTAATTTTTCACAAATATCTGTGAACTTTTCACAGATATCTGTAAATAATTACAGAAAATCTTTAAAATTGTTTACCGAACGTTCAGCTGTTGAGATTTCGGTAAAATTTTACAGAAATCTGTAAAATAATCTTAGTGTGTTGGTAGTCTGAAATTCCTGTATAATAATTGCACTTAATAGCACTCTCCGCTAAAAACTCCAAACCCCTTTGCTTCAAAACCAGCTTTTCCTCCAACCCAAAGTTGTGGTTCTGAATTCGTGCCAGTTCGGTTCGATAAATTTGGAGTTTTTTTTCAGCATCTAAAGCTCTATGCAAATAATTGTCTGAAACACAGTAAAGCAAATTATATGTTGAAAAACGTTATTTTTTTCTGGGTGTCGGAACCAGTCGGAACTGAAGGTGAAGTGAGCTCCTCGGTGAGTTCCTTATTTTCATCAAACGAGGCTTCGATGTATGGTTCGGACGATAACATCGGGAAAGTTATATGCTCCAGTTCTTCATCAAAAATTTTAGCTGGTTCTGGATCAGGTTGTGTTGATTGATTTATAGGGTTCGAGGCACTTGGCAGGTTATCCTCTAGTTTATCAATGTTGGCATCATCTGTGCAGCACTGTGCTGTGTTCTTAATTGGTAAGAATAATGATGGAACCCAATCCGGGTTGTTCACATCTGTTGATTTAGCTGGTTTTCCTATAGTTCGACAAGTAACCTTATTATTCAATCAATACTAATTAATTAACTTTCAAATTAAATCTAACCTGAGATAAAATGTCTACCGCATACATATTTTGTACTCCATCTCAAAGTATCTTTCAAACCTAGAGCAACAATCCATCGATCTCTTCGAAGTATATTAAGCCGGCTGATAAATGAGCTCGAACCTACCGAAGGGAAGCTGTACATGCTTCGCGCTGATACGGACGTATGGCAATCCCCCCTATTCTGCGAGTCACGTGACTCTCTCTCACCGGTGAGGTGACAATAGTCACCTCGTGTGAGGTGACTCTCCATTTGATTTGCATGGAGAGTCACCTCACACGAGGTGACAATTGTCACCTCACCGGTGAGAGAGAGTCACGTGACTCGCAGAATAAGGGGGAATGGTTCAACACACAAACTTTCGGCATTTTAAAACAGATATAAATAATCAAAAAACATTGGACGATACAACCGGAGATCAGTTTCACAGTTTGACGTCTACAAAGTTAAATCGACTTACTTTGATTTTTGTATCTGCACGCACTGCTTATGACTGACTGACGAGCGAACCGAAAGTATACATCAAAGCAGAAGAGAAAATAGCGAGCAAAACAAACCCGGCAAAAATGTCAAACGAAAGTTAGGTTAGGATTGATGCAGTGATCTATACATGAGAGGAAGAGGTTCTAGGAAAGACAATCCCCCCTATTCTGCGAGTCACGTGACTCTCTCTCACCGGTGAGGTGACTCTCCATTTGATTTGCATGGAGAGTCACCTCACACGAGGTGACAATTGTCACCTCACCGGTGAGAGAGAGTCACGTGACTCGCAGAATAAGGGGGAATTGTTTCTCTATATGAAAAACGTGACGAAAGGGGAGAAGGGGGCTTATATTTTCCAGAATTTCGCGTGACGTATTGCCAAATTCAGAGAAACATTAGCATTTGGCGTCAGATTATCATCATTAATAGTATGCTGTGGCTAGGTATCAGTTGCGTCGAATTATTTTCCCCGAAAAGGCAACACTTAAGGTTCAATTTACTTTGATGCTTTTTGGAAAATTTCAAAAGCAGTTTTTTCCGACGCATTATTTCAGATTGCAAAAAGCTCGCACTATTCGATTCCTTTTGATATTTTACACAAAATGACGCGAGCTTTTTGCAATCTAAAATAATGAGTCGGAAAAAACTGCTTTTGAAATTTTCCAAAAAGCATCAAAGTAAATTGAACCTTAATGGACTGTGTGATATCCGATTAAAATGCTCCAGACCATTTTCAAGCGATTAAACATGTGAAAGCTTTATTGTTCGTTCCCTGGTAGGTGTGAAAAATGATTAATAAATGGTTAATGTGTAAGGACAAGTAGAACTCGAGCGTGCTTAGTGCGCTAAACTAGATGTTACGAGTAGACGAAAACACCGTGCCATAAACGGTATGAAATAAACGTACGTTATAAGGAGCGACTGGAGCCACATCCCTTAACCCTTGAGACTGCTCATACCGGCACGCATAATCTCGTCCACCAGCAGCAGGTTGCTTGCAATGACGGTACAGGAGTTCAGGATCTGCTTCTTTACTATGTAATTATCGAACACACCAAGGTCAATGGGTTTCATCGGTTCTCCGGTCGACAGGTCCAGCCCAATCGGATCTTCACTCAGACGGCTTTCCTCCTGCAGACGAACGATGGTGTCCTGTGCATCGTAGCCACTGTTGGTAGCGAGAACCTTGGGAATTACGAGCAGAGCATCGGCATAAGCCTGGATGGCCAGACGAACCTTGCCTTTCACGTCCTTCGCATGGTCCTTCAGCTTGTTGTGACAGCGGATCTCGAAAGCACCGGCTCCCGGGACCACCTTCTTGTCATCGATGGCGTTGTTGATCGAACGCAAACCATCTCGGACGGCATCCTTGATCTGGGTCAGAGTGTACTTGTTCGGGCCCTTCATCAAGATCGTCACGGAGAGCGGGTTTTTGCATTCCTCGACAAAGGTGAACTTGTTCTCACCAAGGACATGCTCGTAGACCAACCCGGCGAATCCTAGATTCGATTCATCCATGTTATCGAACGAGTTCATGGCGAATCCACCGCAAGCCAAAGCCAGACGTTCCATGTTACGACGCTTGGCACGACGGAGTGCCATGATTCCTTCCTTGGCCAGCATATCCAGCGACATTGGATCAATGCCCTTCTGGTTGATGACGACAAAGGTCTTGTCGGTTCCTTCGCAAACCTTGCGTTTCAACTCGATAACCTTCTTGACACGTTCCTCGATGAACTCACGTTCCGCCAGGACGAATTTCTCACGCTCTTCGGCAGTCTTGTAGAAGAATCCCGAATTGACTTCGCTCTTTTCGTACTCCATCGACACGTTGCACGTCAGAATGAAGGCATTCTCCAGACGTTTCGGCATATCCGGATGACGCGAACCGTGATCCATCACAATACCCTTAACTAGCTGGGTATCGGTAGCGGACTTGTGCTGCATTTCCATCATTTCGACCATGTGCAGATCCACCGGTTTACCATCGGTCCGGATAGCCAGCACCGCATCGACGCAAACATCGGTCAACAGTTCCGCCAGCTGTGGGTGAACCTTCGTCCTCAGCGAAGTACGGGCAATGCTCAACAAACCCTCCCGGTTGATCTCGATTGGATGGGACATCTGGTCCAAAATCTGCAGTGCCTGCTGGCGAGCTTGATCGTAACCTTCGGCCAGAATACGTGGGTGCAATCCGTCGGAAATGTACAGATCCGCCTGCTTCAGCAGCTCTCCAATGAGCAGCACGGTGGAAGTGGTTCCATCGCCGGTCATGTCGTCCTGTGCCGTACTGGCACGGGCAATCAACGAAGCCGTCGGGTGCTGAATCTGCATCTCGTGAAGCAAAACGTTGCCATCCTTGGTGATTTTGATTTCGCCGGCACCGGAGACCAACCTACGAGTAAAAAACATAAAACGATTAGAGGTTATGTCAGATGACTCATTTTTGCTTTATATACATCTAGGGCTATTTTTTAAATAATTTTCTATGTAATTCAAAATTTTCACCTTCCCATCGCTCAATTCAATTACTATTTAACAAATGATCTGCATTTTCCTAACATTCCCGATGTAAAACATTTCCATCTGATGCGTAGGCGACGGTTCCAGTTCACAGTACTCACATTTTCATGGTTCCTTTCGGGCCGAGGTTGGTCTTCATCACATCCTGAATGCCCTTGGCAGCGCCAATATTGACGGCCAATGCCTGGGCGGCACGGGCGAATTCGGCTTTCGGGTTCAACAGACTGATGGCTGCCATTTTAATTTATATTCACCGATTGGAAAATCGCACAGAAATCACGGAAAATTCGAGAGAGATCACGCAGCACCACCGGACCGTGCGAAAGAAAACGGGGCTTTGTCGAAAAACGAGTGCTGCTGCGGAGAAAAAGAGGAAAACAAGAAAGAAGAGTCCAGTTCTTGACAGCTGAGTTGTCTGTCAACATATATCTTGGGAGGGATAGGATACTATAGGGCGATGGAGCACGTTCACGTATGTATCTACAGTCAAGGCTCATCCGAAGCGCGTCAGCGGTGTTTGAACTCAGTTTTGCTAGGCAGCATCCTGCTTGTTGGTTTGTTGGTACAGCCAAGCTATTGCAGAATCTGATGACCCCATTGGAACCAGGTTCACTCAAAGTACCAATGAACGTGTTGAGCCACCTATTGTGCCAGAGTCAGTTGAGCTCGAGGGGGGCGTCACATCTTAATCTCAATTCTAGATGCTCGAATATTCTCACACTAGCGAATCAATCTACACAATAACAAAAAGCAGATACAATATTACATCAATGGATGTACTTCGTACAACATAATATTACACAACCAGTGGAATGACCTCCGTGCAGTTGTTTGGATGTAATATCATAGAGGTAACTCTAAGACCAGAAGGTCCTGAAGAAACGTGTTCTTCATTTTAAGGCTAAGCTCTGGTACTATCTTAGATCCCAAGCTAATCGATGCACCCCTCGAAACATAAAAAAAATCCACGAACCCCTCAATTTTATCTGTCAAACTCATAGCGAATCAAAATAAGCATAGTATAGTACTAGAATTACGACTAGAATGGGGTGCGTTAATCGATTTGCTTGGGACCAATAGGCTAGTCAAGTAGTGAGCCAATTTTAAATCGTTAGTTTCCACCGGTTGCTAATACCGTGGACCTCAGCTAATCTGAACAATACTTCATTTATATTAACGGGGTTCATTTATAATTTGAATTTCTAGTAACCCTATAACCATAAGAAAAGCGTGTTTCTGGTAGCCTTGTTTTCTCTTTTGTTTTGATTCTGCGTTGCTGTTTACAATGTTTCATTTCACTTTCCTCCATTCTATGAGCTGAATGACGTTTGAACCATTTTTAATTTCCACTGCATGCAGATTAGCGGGGTTCAAATTAAAAAGTGTTCAGATTAAAAACAGTCTGATTACCGGGGGTCCACAGTATTGCGGATTTTGCCAAGAATTTTGCCCCCAATTAGACTTACTGCCTCTTATGTCCGCTAGAAATTTATGGAACCTTCATCGGTAACGCCTGGAAACATCTTCGGGGAGATTCTCGGGGAGATCTGTAATCTTCGTCTCAAACGTCTGGACGTTTCCTACCACTCGAACTTTGCCGCGGACCAATATTTTGGGAAATTTCGCCCAGAACCTTGCTAAAATATGGTTTTATTCATAGGCTAGAATAATCTGGAATGGACCACTTTGGCAAGCAGTTTTGGCGTGATTTGGCAAAACTGGACCATCAGATTGATATGTTTTTTGACGTAGGACTACGTCTTTGATTTCTATATGGGGGTACACTTTGTGAAAACCGAAAATGGAACATGTAACAAATTAAGAAAGATTTTGAACGTTAATAACTCAGCTTCCCCTGGTCCAATTTCAATAATTTTATCACCAATCGATTAGAAATATGGCTACGCATTGATAACAATGCTTTCGAATGTTGAGTTTCAACAAGAAACTATTGAAAAACTGGTAAATGTTTAGCATTGTCCAAAAGCGTCGAATTAACTAACAAATCCACCAATTACCTACATACATATGCTGCTTCCCCAGCACAGTCGTCAGAGAGTAGTAAGTAGACGAAACAAGTCGAAGTGGCATTCGCCTCCGATCCTCGGGCGCGTGCGAATAGGGAGGATGGAATTGCGTAATATTTTACACACTCATCGCCATGTTCAGAACCAAACGCAAATTCTTCGAGATAACCACCATCCGTCGTCTGGCTCGCCGTGGCGGTGTCTGACGTATCTCCGGTTTGATTTACGAGGTGTGCTGAAGGTGTTCGTGGAAAATGAGGTCCGTGATGCTGTCACCTACACTAAACACGCCAAGCGTAAGTGGCCATGGATGTCCTCTTCAATAAAACTTCCCTTTTCAGGGCCATCAAGCTTACATCAGTAAAGAGTTGGAATAGAATTTATCTATGCTTGTTTGTCCATATTCAGAACCACAAGCCCCCAACGACCACACAAACTTGGAAGCAGGGGTGCAAGTGATTTTGATTGATTCTCGTAATCAACTTTCTTTCTGAAAAAGATTACTACAAATTTGGATCGCCGGTTGGTTTGCGTGGGCGTACTTTAGTTCGCGTGTAAAGGGCCTTAGAATGTTTGTTTACAAATGCTTTTGTGCCGTTATCAAATGTTATGCCTGATTTGATCAATTAAAAGAACTTAATGCTCTTCACATTTATTCCGTCCACTAGCGGTCCTAGGTCAAGATTCCGTTCGTGCCCCTAGGCACAGACCCTTCTACTTTTTTTTGTTGAAGGCCACTTTTCTCGCGGTTGTAAAATCTCAAAATATTGTTTTATTTTAAAGTTCGAGTACGATCGACTCACCCGGTGAGTAAGCTGAAGTAAGCGTGTGAATCATTCTCAGTGGCTGTGTGGTAACGTCATCCCAAAACTGCTCGAAAATAATATTGATAAATGATCAATTAACCACTTTATTCGAGCAGTTAAAATGGCGTTTACTACCACTTGAACTTTGAAATAAAACATTATTTTGAAATGTTTTCATCTAGAACCAAGAGAAAAGTAGCCAACATTTGTGCGTTTCATAAAAGAATATAAATTATTTGGTCCAGTTTTGTGAAATCGCTGGTAGAAAGTCACGCCAAAACTGCTTGACAAGGTGGTCAATTATTAACCACTTCATTCGAGCAGTTAAAATGACGTTTCATCATCATCATCATCATCATCATAATCAAAACTGCTTGACAAAGTGGTCAATTATTATTCGATTACTGTTGAGAACGTGTTCCTTCAAACGCAATTCCTTCCCCTCCAGCGCGTTCCCGTATGCAGTGCAGCAACGCTTCAAATTTTGACAGTTCTGGTTTCGTTACGAAAAATCTGATGCGGTGTTTTGATTCATTTCTGTAAAAGCGAAAAAGTTACAAGATATTAGTGTTTTTTATTATTCCTCATCATCTATGATAAAGCTATCCACTTAAAATTAAGTCTATTTCCTAGAAGGTTGACCAACTGATTCAGAAATCCATCATGGGATCGTCAGATTGGGACGGTGAGTATTTACAGTCGCACAAAGTTCAATGTTTACATTTTTCCGTCAGACGATCGCTCGTACCAAAAGTGATGACGAATGATTATGGTAATCGTGGTTCTGGTTTGAAACATATTCTGCTTTTTTTCAGCTCTGCGGAAGCAGGCCCGCCATCTGGAAAACGACATCGACCTGAAGCTGATTGCATTCAACAAGGTCGGCACTGGCAGCAGTTCGCTCAACTCGGCAGCGAGCTCCCCATCGGACACCTCGCCACTGCTGGGTGACCATGTCTTCGAATCACTTTCGCTGGAAATCGAACAGATGCTGGACAAGTTGTCCAATATCAACGAGAAGATGGCCGAGATTCCCGGCACTGGAGCGGCCGTCATGCATGTCTTGCAACGGCATCGGGAGATTTTACATGTAGGATTTGGCTTTGGTATGAAACTGACGATAAACTATTTGACCAAGAATGGATTTTACTTCTAGGGCTATCGACAGGAGTATCTGAAGATTCAGGCCAATCACACAACCCGAATGGAACGCGAGGAGTTGCTGCGGGGGTCTGGCCTAGGCGGGACGACGTCTCTGAGTTCCCCTTCAACATCCGGGTTAAGTCGGAGGGATATGTATCTGAAGGAGAACACACATCTTCACAAGTGAGCGTTGTAGTGACACTTTTCCTGTAAGAGTTCTAATAGAATCGGGTCGATTTTAGTTCAAGTTCCATGGTTAATGATCAGATTAGCATCGCAATGGAGACTAAGGAACATTTAAGCTCCCAGCGGCAGCACATGAAGCGCTTCCAGACCAGAATGCACGATATTTCCAATCGATTCCCAATGATTTCTAGGTAAAATGTTTGAGGAAAATTGCAACGTTTAGCGATTTAACGAAATTTGCCTTCTTTCAGCCTCATTCAAAGAATTAACATTCGCAAACGAAGAGAGTCACTGATATTGGGAGGCGTGATTGGAGTGTGTACGATTCTTCTACTGCTGTATGCCTTCCACTGATCGGCACGAACTTTCGGCTCTTGGTGCAAACATTTTTTATTTTCGAAAAAGCTATTTCGTCAATACTAGATCATTGTTATGTATTAGATGGCAATTATCTTCTCTCGGGAAAAAAAAAAACCAAACCCAAACTAACTGAGGCATTCTTCAGCAGTAGACGAGGCGAGGGAACTGCATCGATGACAGAGAATTATTTGTGGTTATTTTATATAGTTAGAAGTTTAAAGAGTAATCGAAACCGGTCAAAGCTTTGGTTAGCGATTTGACTGGCCACAATATATGTGTATTTATCCGGATAAATAAGGCGAAAAATAAAGAAAGCCGCATTTGGCGGCGTTTGTGATAGAAAATTTGATTTATTTGGAGTAGCGTTTCCCAAGAAGTAAGCAAAATAATTAGTCGCCGTACTCACTGATAAAACCTTTTTTTACGTAGGATTGCGTCTTTCGGCAACATATTGGGGGTGCAATTTCAAAAAAACCAAAATCGATCGCGTTACGAGAAGTGGTCAGGTTTTGACCACTTATAACAGCTTATAACCACCGACAAACCGACATGAATGACCATTCAAAGTACCATGAAATTTCTGATCAAGGCACAAAACTGACATCGCGGAAAATGTTTATCCTAGCCACAAACACGCGTACAAAATATATGAGTTGGTTCGCGTCTGATCTATTCTGGACAAATTATTTTTATCTAGGTACAAAATTTCTATGATTTTGACAGGTGGGATCGCTGCACATTTTATTCGGCCGTTACGGATTCTCGATCAAGTGTTAAGTTTAAGTTGCATGTCGGTTTGTCGGTGTTATAATTCTGTCAATAGCGGATGGATTTTAATTCTAAACAAGTAATTCGATTGGAAATTTTTCTACGAATCTGCTACAATGAACACTATTAAGCTCACTGACCGCACTTTGTTTTTGTGTGTAGTTTAGTTTGCTCCGGATCGAACACGCGACTCTACGCTAATTGAATCCTACACTCAGTCTATTCGAGCTATAATGGAGATCGCTACAGTTGGCGATTTCAATCTACCGGCAATTTCTGGGCTATCATCTTACGGTGGATTCCTGTATGTGGACCACGACCGTTCTACATTTCACTCTGGAGCTGCAAGCCTTTTGGATCATTACAGTATCGCCACTCTGAAGCAAATCAACCACATGGTTAATGAGAACCATCGTAACTTAGACCTTTGCTTCGTCACCAGGATACTGCTCCACACTTGTCTACCCAAGAAACATTTCAAGTTTTATCGAGGTTTTAAAGCATTCTACAAGTCTAAATCATGGTCTGCAGAACCCTTATAAAACCCAAATTGTTACTTGGGTATGGCTGTTTCTCCGTTGATAAAGACTGTTCCACAACATCCTCCTTTAGTTATTGCACTTGAAGGCAAGCAAATTCCTGAAGTGATTCCACCCCCCTTAGGGATGGTCCATTAATAATGTCACACAAATTTGGCTTATTTTCATCTCTCCCCCTTTGTCACATTTTTTGTATGGACCTTAATTTTTTGGTATGGCTCGTCACAGTTCTCAACCCCCCCCCCCCCCTCCCCCCTAAATATGCGACACAATTAATGGACGACCTCTTGGAGGTCTCCTACGATTTCCGAAATGCTGACCACGACAGTATCAGGAAACTTCCTTCGAAATTGGACTGGCACAGGATACTCGTCCCTGCCGATGTCAATGCAGCTGCCCAAACGCTCTCGCATATTTTGGCTTACGTCATTGAGCGACACGTTCCGAAAAAAGTTTCTAAACAAGGTAATCATCATCCTTGGCAAACAAGTGAACGGTGAGTGAACTCCGTGTGCTAAAGTCTTCCAAAAGAGCCGCGCTAATAAAATACACAAAGTACCACACCCTACAACTCAAGGACCATTATTTTTTTTTTGTTCATTAATTTATTTGATAAGGCTCAACCGAATTAACTTTACAGAGCCGAGGATTCTTGGTCACTATACAATACATCTTAAAACTATAGTTAAAAGGTACAACACAAAAAACACTTTATCTTCCGCCATCCAAAAAGCCTCCTCCATCAGAACTGGAGCCGCTTCCAGTGGTTTAATTGTAGGGCAGTTACACCAGCGTGGGGCATGGCAAAGCGGTATTGCAGCAATGGACGCAAAACGTGGTCAACACTCACACACTCATCACGAAACGGTTGCTTTCCAAAGTCGTCGACGCATCGACCGAAAGAACTGCTGATGAAGAACAATGTGGAGGACCACACAATGGTTGCTGCCGAGAAAAAAGGCGATCGCATGACACACCTTGATAGTGGCCTGCTTTTGTCGACAGCCGAGTGAACACTCACAAGGGCCATTATGGGAGGATCAATCATGCGTATCAACGAATCAGTCACCAATGTTATCGGCGTTATCAACGAGATGTTCAACGGAAGCTTCGATCTCATCCGAAAACTTTTTGGAATTATGTGAATGAGCAACGAAAGGAGTCTGGCCTTCCATCGACTATGGTACTGAACGGCGAAGAAGCTTCATCCCCTCAGGACATTTGCCCTCTGTTCTCAACTAAGTTTGCGAGTGTATTCTCGGATGAGAACCTACCTGACGAGCACGTTTCTATAGGGGCCTCTCTTAGCTCAGTCGGTAAAGGCGCAGCTACAAAGCAAGACCATGCTGGAGGTGGCTGGGTTCAATTCCCGGTCCGGTCTAGGAATTTTTCGGGTTGGAAAATTTCTCGACTTCCCTGGGCAATAGAAGTATTATTGGACTTGCCACACAATTATACCAATGCAAAAATGGTACAGGCATCGAAAGCTCTCAATTAATAACTATGGAAGTGCATCTAGAACACTAAGTTGAGAGCACGCAATAAGCTAATATGCGATATGCAATAAGCTTGAAATGGGAAGAAGAAGAAGAAGACGTTTCTATAGCAGCCAGTTCCAATGTCTGGTCAATCTTTCGCAGCTATCAACATCGACCTCGCTATGATAACTAGGGCGGCTTCGCAACTGAAGTCTTCATTTAAGCCTGGACCTGACGGAGTTCCTTCCGTCTTTCTCAAGCAACACATCGATAGCCTGGTGGCTCCTCTCTGCCTTCTGTTCGAAATGTCCCTCTCCAGTGGGGTGTTTCCTTTCTGCTGGAAATCAGCTGAGATGTTTCCAGTGCATAAGAAGGGATGCAAAAGAAACATCGACAACTATCGCGGCATCACATCGTTGTGTGCCATATCTAAACTGTCCGAGTTGGTCGTTATGGAACCATTAGTCTCTCACTTCTAGCAGCACTTGAGCGAAGACCAGCATGGTTTCATGGCAGGGCGGTCGACTACTTCCAACCTTCTGTGTCTCACCTCGTACATTAATGACAGACCATATGCAAACAGATGTCATCTACACTGACCTATCAGCCGCCTTCGACAAGTAGAACCATCCTGATCGCCAAACTGGACAGGCTCGGTATAAACGGCAGTCTCCTAAGATGGTTCGCATCCTATCTATCTGATCGTCAGTTGGAAGTTACAATCGACGACTGCCGATCTCCTTTGTTCCCTGCCATTTCGGGTATTCCGCAAGGCCCATTGATATTTCTTGTGTATTTCAACGACGTCAATTTCGTCTTCGACGGTCCACGACTCTCGTTCGTAGACGACATGAAAATCTATCTCCGAATCCGAGCCATCCCTGACTGCCGCCTTCTCCAACTCCAACTCAACGCTTTTGCTAATTGGTGCCAACTGAACCGCATGGTTGTAAATCCAACAAAATGTTAAGTACTCACGTTCTCACGGAAGAAACATCCAATTACATTCAGTTATATCCTAGAAAGCGTTGACGTACATCGTGTGAATCACATTAAGGATCTGGGAGTCATCTTAGATTGTCAACTCACATACAGCCAGCATATCTCGTACGTGATCGACAAGGCATCCAGAACGCTCGGCTTCATTTTCAGGATGGCTAAAAGTTTCACGGACATCTACTGTTTGAAGTCGCTTTACTGCTCCCTCGTCCGGTCGGTTTTAGAATACTGCTGGCCTGTATGGAATCCCAATTACCAAAACAGTGTACATAGAGTAGAGTCTATTCAACGACGATTCATCTGGTTTGCCCTTCGACGATTGCCTTGGAGGGATCCTCATCGTCTTCCAAGCTACGAAAGTCGGTGCCAGTTAATTCACCTGGATCCTTTGTGGAGTCGAAGAGATACGACAAGGGCCCTGTTTGTGGCAGACATTATACAGGGCAGAATCGATTGTTCTTCTATTCTATAACAAATCGATGTTAACGTTCAACCACGCGCACTCCGTAACAACGCAATGCTGCCCGAATAGAAATTGTAATGTAGGAAACATCAGCATACATCTTCAATACATTAAATTTTAACGTGTATTGCTGTACCCTTAATGTATTCAGACTTCAGTGTGACGTCCAAGTACATAAAAATACATTAGCCTCAAACGTTACATCAGAATCAAACGTCTTGACGATGTAAAATTTGACATCAGAATACATCCAATGACAACAGAACCTAACGTTACATTAGAATCAAAGTTCATCACGATGTAAATTTTTGTCCCTCGGTCCCTCGCCGCATGCAAAGTTTGTTTTGTCCTGAGTCAGCACTACACGGCGAATGAGAACGACCAAAATTTGAGGTTAGTTCACTCATAAATCGCAAAAAGTGCAGGAACTCAGTTTTGAATTAATTTCCCTCATGTTTCGAATATGAGAAAAGCAAAGATTGGATTCTCTGGATTCTCGTAAATTTTCCTTATTTTAGGGCAGATTTTGAGGTTTTCCACAGGAAAACATGCGGCAAATTTACTCATCCTGCACTTTTTTCGATATTGAGTACACTGTACTCAAATTTGCGTTGATCTCATTGGCCGTGTACAGTTTTTTTTTCGCAGTGCGAAAAGTTTGATTTGTTTACGAATTAGCCCGAGAAAGTGCCGAAAGACATAGATTTAAGAAAGTTCAATTCTAATGTAAATTTTTCATAAATAATGCCAATTTAGAATTCTGTACTATCTAATAACTATTTCTTCGAACTTTTAAGCAGTTTGGATAACAATTTGGCCAACGTATAAGATACTTACTTTACTTTTGCTGGTCCAACGTCCCTCAAGATTTGACCTGTATAACAAAGTTGCGCCAACTAACTCGGTCCCTGGCTGCTTGTCTCCAATTTCTCGAGCGTCCCACACTTCCTACATCTTGCTGCACTTGGTCTAACCACCTAGCACGCTGTGCTTCTCTGCGTCTTGTACCGGCCGGATTTGAGGAAAACACCATTTTTGCGGGATTGTTGTCCAGCATTCTTACAACGTGTCCCGCCCATTGTACCCTTCCACCTTTAAAGTTACGCCAGTTCGTGGTTCATTCTTCTCCTCCATACACCATTTTCATATACCCTGCCAAATATGGTCCTAAGCACGCGTCGTTCGAAATCTCCCAGTGCTCCTCGAGCATTGTCCATTGTCATATTTTTCATGCACAATAATTTTGTTTATTATATATTTGCAGTTCGTCAATAAGTTAGAAGACTGGCAACCCAAAACATTCCGCATTTGTGGATCATCTGTGCAACAGGCAGCAATAGGCGCCTATGTCAGTGGTCTAACAACTCTTAGTGCGCTAATGGCATAGTTCCCCTGCCGCATAGAGAGTTGCCGCAATGATATTAGGTTAGCTAAGGTCAGTTAACTGACTGGTGGGAAACGGGAGCTTCAGCATTGACTATTATGTACGCATTTTTATGATGTTATCTAACAATAATGGTGTGTAGTGTTTACACGATCATGTTTCTAATTCTAATGTGTTGTAAATATAATTGAAAGCATTTGAAAAGTAAGATTCTAGTGTTTTGTATATTTAAAAACATGTTCTCTGATGTTTTTAGATGTACAAAACGTTTAAAGTAAACGTTGTTTGAATGTTTTCAAATGTAGATGTTTATACATTTCAAAACATTCAAACAACGTTTACTTTAAACGTTTTGTACATCTGAAAACATCAGAGAACAACAAACACGAAGTACAATTGAAAACATCAGAACAACGTTTAGTTCTAACGTTGTGTGAATCCGAAAACATCCAAAAAACGTTTGGTTCTAGCATCAGGAAACATCTACATAAGAAAACATTAGAATACATTTACATATAAAAACATCCGAACAACGTTTAGTTCTAACGTTTTTTACATCCGAAAACATCCAAAAACGTTTGGTTCTAACATCAGGAAACTTCTACATTAAAAAACATCAGAAAACATTTACATATAAAAACATTTAAACAACGTTTAGTTCTAACGTTTTTTACATCCGAGAACATCCGAAAACGTTTGGTTCTAATGTCAATAGATTGAAATTTTTGACGTCAGACCGACATTAGAATGACAAAATTTTGTTCCAAAATTTCTGATGTATACACCATGTTACGTTGCTTAAATACAACTAAATCATAATGTTTTCTAATGTTTGACATCAGGCATACATTTGATTACGATGTTGATGTAGACATCAGAATCAAACGTTGGGCTAATGTAAATTTCTATTCGGGCTGGATCAAACCATCGAGCTTTGCTGCGACAATCAAAGCACTATTTGCATTGGCAAAAGCGGAGGGTACACGCCACGTACCAAGCACATAGACATACGTCATCACTTTATACGAGATGCCCTCGACCAGAACATCATTCGGCTGAAGTATGTGAGCACCTATCAACAGATTGCAGATGGCCTAACGAAGACTCTTGAACGGATCAAGCTGGAGCGAAACCGAGTTGCTATGGGGGTGGAGGCATCAGCTTAAGAGGGAGTGTTGAGATAGTAGTGTAAGCTGCGCTTCATCTGTTCTTTATATCTGTGGAAGAGTAGAATTTATCCAACTTCTGTGTAGTTTACGCTCACCGTGTAGAACTATTTATTCTCTGTCTGTACTGTACTTTTCCCTTCACTAAACGATTTGCAATGCGGACGTGTCTGCGCGTGTTCTCTCTTTAATATTTTGAGCCAAATGAACTGCCAAAATCTGAGCCAATCAAACATTCCGTTTAGATTTTGTCCGAGGATTTCTAATTCTTATTAGATTAAATTTAAGAGTATTGCTATCGAACAGCAATTAACCACTTTATTCGAGCACTTAAAATGACGTTTACTACCATTCGAACTTTGAAATAAAAAATTATTTTGAGATTTTTTCTTCTAGAACCTCGAGAAAAGTAGCCAACATTTGTGTGTTTCATAAAAAAATAGAAATTATTTGGTCCAGTTTTATGAAATCGCTGGTAGAAAGTCACGCCAAAACTGCTTGACAAAGTGGTCAATTCAATCATCTTTATGTTTCGTGTGCTCCTCAAATTCAACTAGGTTTTTGGAATCAAAAACAATATTCTAACTCTATTGATTAATTGATCTTAGTTGGTTAATTAATGGCACCAAGAAATGTACAAAATATTGCAATGCAATCAATTATTATTTTGCACGTAAATCGAATCAAAAATAAATCATCAGTAGACATATTTCTGATCGGTTGTTGATAAAATTATTGAAATTGATCCAGGGGCAGCTGAGTTATTAATGTTCAAAAAATTTCATAATTTTGTTTCATGTTCCATTTTCGGTTTTCACAAAGTGTAACCCAGTATAGAAATTAAAGACGTAATCCTACGTTGAAAAAAGGCCAGTGCAGTATGACCTCGCATCCAAATAAGCTCAAATTTTGGGAGAATGATCAGGACCTGATTTACAATAGATTGAGCCTGGTGGAGCCAAATCGATATTTTGAACCACCCAAGCTTTCCCGTCATCATAACCATCGGATTCTGGAAGATCATATTTATTAGTTGACCCTCCAAAGGTTTGACGTCTGTGTTCTAGCAGTTATATGACCATTTCGGTGTTTCAAATATTTACTGCCCAAACAAAGAAAGCAAATCAACAAACGTTTCGTATTCTTTATTACACTATATCAACAAATAAATAATTGCACTATAATCTCTTCTATCTTAGATTAGCCTTGAAAATTTGTAATAACCATCCCCCAACGTACGGACAACTTTCTGGTTGTGGTTCGATTTGATAACAGTTCGCCCTTTCTACTAGTGAGTACGTCATTCACTACTGCACACAGTTTAGAAGGTACTCTTCCTAATATGTAATCATATTCACTTCCACTGCAGGGAACTAATCTCGTTAACTTTGAGCGATTACCACAGCTTGGCTCCGGCGGTCCATGGATCCGGTCCGTAGGCGGGGGCATGACCTGCAGCAAAGTACGGCGTGTGCACTGGGACGGGGACCGGTTTGGGGTAAGCCACTGGGACCGGGGCTGGTACTGGAACACCGACGTGTTTCACAACGGGAACTGGGACGGGATGGGCCACCGGCACCGGGTAGGGACGATCCACTGGGACCGGGTAGGGTCTGTCAACGGGCACGGCGAATGGTTTCGGAACGGCAACCGGGTAGGGACGGTCAACCGGGACGGGAATGTGAACCTGGAAGTATAGACGTTTATGTTAAGACGGTCCATCAGTCAGTCACTGTGCGGAGTGGGATTTGGAAATTTATTTGCCTGTGGGAAAATATTTTTATTACAAGCATAATAGCTATAGGTAGGTATGCATAATCCTTTCCATCTGTCTGTATCAGAAGCTCATAGAAATTGGCTGCCAGAGAAGTAAGGGTACATGAAATTTAAGGAATAGCGTCCCTATATTGAGTATTTCGATCTGCACACAGATTTACTGTGGGTTGAATTAAATTTATTATTCCTAAAAAAATATGATTGAGCTCTCAAAAATCAGATTTGCTTCAACACATAACTTTAAAAAACTTGATATAATTGAGTGGACAACAAGACAACGTTAGGCGTTCTCTGGGATTGCTAAAAAAAGGTCATACTTCCTCAAATCGAGTCACTACACATTTGAGTTGAAACGACTCTAAACATTGATTATGCCATCACTAAGCAGTGGTCGGAGGTTCGGAGTCATCCAATCTGAAAAAAAGTGGAAAATTCGAATTGAGGCCAGTGAAGACTCATACACAGATTTATCTGCAATGATACAGATTTTTTGAAAATTTTCGGTAATACACAGCTTTTTGGAAAAGTTTAAATATTTATACAGATTTTTGCCAGGGCCAAGTCAGCTGTACTCGTCAGCTGTTAAATTTAGAAACCGATTAAATTGTATGAGATCACGTGCAGGACGGCTCATATCTGATGACAGATTGATCGGTGCTATGTGACATCAATCCGTATTAGTCGTCAAGATATCGTAAACAGGGATTTGATTCTTATGAAAACACAGGATTTATTACAGCTAAAGCATTTTTTCTAGGCGACGACGGAGTAATCTACCCTCAACGGATCAATTAAATTTCTGAGGTTTTGACAGCTGTGGCTACCACAGTATTTTACATTTGATTGTCCATATACAGTAGCGCCAAAAGCATGCTGTGATGGGTTCAAAACATACGAAACTAACGATTTTAAATTGGCTCACTACTTGACTAGCCTATTGGTCCCAAGCAAATCGATTAACGTATCCCATTCTTGTCAAAATTCTAGTACTACACAATGTTTGTTTTGATTCGCTATGAAAGTTTGACAGATAAAATGAGGGGTTATTGGATATTCCTATGTTTCGAGGGGTGAATCGATTAGCTTGGGACCGAAGATAGTACCAGAGCTAAGCCAAAAAGTTGAGCTCGTTTCTTCGGGACCTTCTGGTCTTAGAGTTACCTCTATGGTATTAGCAACAATCAATACGAAACTAACGATTTTAAATTGGCTCACTACTTGACTAGCCTATTGGTCCCAAGCAAACGATTAACGTACCCCATTCTAGTCGAAATTCTAGTACTACACAATGTTTGTTTTGATTCGCTATGAAAGTTTGACAGATTAAATGAGGGGTTGTTGGATTTTCCTATGTTTCGAGGGGTGAATCGATTAGCTTGGGACGGAAGAGAGTACCAGAGCTGAGCCAAAAAGTTGAGCACGTTATTTCGGGACCTGCTAGTCTTAGAGTTACCTCTATGGTATTAGTGTCTGTCTGGAATCCAGACTCTGGATACACAACCAGAGCTTATAAACCATACGATATCTACCGAAATCTTAAATCAAAGGGCTGGTTACCACCATTGATACGACAGTAAGGCGTATACGCCAAGAAAGTTCCTTATATCCAGAAAGTAATAAATGGGAAGGAATGTTATATGATCGTAAAAATGATCAGTGGCGTTCCAAAACTAGTCTTGACCATCGGAAGAACAAGACCGGGGACGCCATCAAGAATGGGTTGGCGAGAAGACGTCGAAAGGAGGTTGGAAGAAAGTGTAATCTTGTGCTGGAAGTGGTAGAATACGTACGATATTTAGACCTCATTTTTTTTTCGCGCTGAAGCAATAGTTGTTGATGAGCATCAATTGAATGCCTCCACTCACCCGTTGAAAAAATAAAAGGTGATGGGTCGCCAAAGTTTGGATGCAACTGCATCCATTCAAGATGCCCCGAAAATGCCTCGCAAGAAAGCTGGTACCAGCAACCACACGGAAAGGTTGCTTCAGAGTAATCCGTTCTCGGCACTCCCCGAAGAAGCAGATGTAGACCCAGTTGAGAAACGGGAAAAAGTGCCCCCACTGTTCACCTTGACGAAGAACTCGCTTTGTTCAGGAATGAGCTGGCTAAAAATCAAATCCATCCGCTGTTCAAGCTGTTCAGCACGGGATCTAAATCTTGTGCTCGACGCTGGCGGACTACACTTTTCTTCAGCTGAACCGGTTTGAGTTCTACACTCACGACGTCCCTGGAAGCAAAACACTGAAAATAGTGATCCGTGGTCTTCCAAATCTCAGTGTTGCGGAGATTAAAGCGGAATTGGAGCTCCTTCATCTGCAACCAATCAACATTTTTCCCATTGCGAGACGTGATGAAACCGGTGCATTCCGGGACCAGTTGTACCTGGTGCACTCTTGCCGGACTCTTATGCTGGTCTAGTGACGGCATTGGAAGGTCGGCCGGATGCCGATTTAACTATGCATTTGGTTAAGTCGAAGTTGCTCGACGAATATGAGCGAAGAAAGGAGAAGAGTGGTGCTTCGAGAAGTGACGTGAATGCGATGAAAAGTTCAACGAAACATGGAAAGCAGAGTAGTGCCGTGCAGGATCGGAAGTGTTTCCATTGTGGTAAGCCGGGTCACCTTCGACGAGATTGTCGATTGCTTACGAATCAGAAGAAAGGTGATGAAGACCGGAAGAGGCCCGAAGTGAAACAAAACGCGAAACAAGCCAAGAATAACAGAAGTGGTGTGTGTTTTATGGTCGGATGTAATCCATGCAGGTCGTGGTTTATTGACAGTGGAGCCAGTTGTCACATGACTTGTGACGAAAGTTTTTTCTCGACACTCACGAAGAAGAACGGTCCAAATGTTTTTCTGGCCGACGGTAAGGTTGCGAAGACCGCTGGATACGGTGAAGGTACAGTGATTGGTGTTAACGGAGAAGGTAATGCGATTGACGTGAAACTTGTTGACGTTTTGTACGTTCCGTCGTTGACAAGTGGTCTAATCTCCGTGGACAAGTTAACTGCGAATAGTTTTACTGCCGTTTTCATGGAGGACGGGTGTAAAATCCAAGACACTGCAGGTACGGTTTCGATCGTTGGTGAGCGGCATGGCTGCCTATACAGACTGAAGTTGGCGGAGTCGTCGAAGAAAGTTCAAGGTAAGGCACACAACCTTAATTGCCAGCATCAGTGGCACCGACGTTTCGGGCATAGGGACCCTGGTGTTATTGGTAGGATTCGTGACGAGAAACTGGGTATCGGTATGAATGTTACCGACTGTGGTATCAGAGAATGTTGCGAACCTTGTTTAGAAGGGAAGATGACACGAAACCCGATTCCAAAGGCAGCGGAGAGGAAGTCGACTCAAGTGTTGGATCTGATTCACACCGACCTGTGTGGGCCAATGCGGACAACGACGCCCGGTGGTAAACGATTCTTGATGACGATGATAGATGACTTTAGTCGCTTTACGGTCGTCTATTTGCTCGAGAAGAAGTCGGAAGCTCCGGAGAAGGTAAAGGAGTATGTTCGGTACGTGACAAATTTGTTCAACCGAAAGCCGCGTATTATTCGCTCAGACGGTGGAGGCGAGTATGCGAACAAGGAGTTAAATAATTTCTTCACACATGAGGGAATTAAGGCACAGTACACCACAGCGTACACACCGCAGCAGAATGGTGTAGCTGAGCGGAAGAACCGGTCGCTACAAGAAATGGCGACGACGATGCTCCTTGATGCGGGTTTGGATAAGCGGTTCTGGGGTGAGGCCGTACTATTGGCTACTTATTTGCAGAACCGACTTCCGTCACGAGCGGTTGACAAGACTCCGTATGAAAAGTGGTATGGGAGGCAACCGATACTTAGCCATTTGAAAGTATATGGTTGTCCTGCTTATGTCCACATTCCCGATGTCAAACGGGGAAAATTTGACAGTAAAGCGAGGAAGCTGCGGTTTATTGGGTACTCTGACGTTCACAAGGGTTACCGTTTTGTTGATACCTCGACTGACAGGATCACAATAAGCCGTGACGCCAAGTTTTTAGAAATGGACGACGGATCGTCACATAGAATGGATTCGCAAGCGACATCTAATGAAAATTTGTCTAGCAGTGTGATCGAGTGGCCTTTTCCTGAGGTGCTCCCGAAGCAGCAGGCAGCGGAAGAAGGAACTGCCGATAGTGGCGAAGAGGATGAAGAACCGGCGAGCGAAGACAGTGAGCGTGAAGATTATTTTGATGTGGACGATCCCGATCCAGATGAAGATCCCCTCGCGGTGAAGGAGGAGGAAAAAGAAGATGAAGTGAGGGAAGAATTAGAAAGTGCAAATCGACAAGGTCGTCGCACCCGCGGCGTGCTACCGAGCCGTTTGTCGGATTATGTGGTAGGTGTTGTGACACAGAAGGTGCAGGAACCAGCAACGTACAAGCAAGCAGTGTCCAGTCCGGATCGATGTTCGTGGAAGGAAGCGATGGATAGCGAAATCCAGTCGCATAAGCAGAATGGGACGTGGGAGTTGGTGCCACTTCCGAAGGGCAAGAAAGTTGTAGGCAGTCGTTGGGTGTTCAAAGTGAAACGGAACGAATCAAATGAAGTCGTCCGCTACAAAGCAAGGATCGTCGCGCAGGGATTCACTCAGTGCTATGGCGTTGATTACGATGAAGTGTTCGCCCCTGTGACCAAACATGCTACACTCAGAGTCCTGTTGTCCCTGGCTGGAAAGAGAGGAATGGCGTTGAAGCACTTGGATGTCCGTACCGCGTATCTCTATGGAGAAATCGAAGAAGAAATCTATATGCGTCAACCACCTGGCTACGAGGTTCACGGAAAGGAGGAGATTGTTTGCCGACTTCGTAGAAGCATATACGGACTGAAACAGTCAGCTCGATGTTGGAACCGGAAGCTAACCGGTGTTCTGACACAAATGG